ATGTCACATTAAATATGTGTCCACAGAAAATTCTTAATGGATACATGTATTTATGGATATTTTGCAACATTCCAACAGTTCTCCAAGCAGAGTAATATGGAAACTTAGTTGCCTAACACTCCTAATTTCCTCGGGACTTGACTAATACAGAAATTAATTAAGCAAATTGATTCATATCAATCACTGTCTTCAAAAGCTTATCCTTGAATCCTGTTTTGAGAATGCATTTGGTTAAAAAAGTATTTTCTAACTTCTTTTTGTTATCAGGAAAGAGTGGCTAGTGGTGAAATACTTTGTCTCCTAAATTCTGTTCGTATAATAACATGTTTTCAGCAGTATTTGTAAGTGCCTGGAATGAGATGTCCGATTAGGATCATAAAGATTCCTTAAATAAAAGCTAACATGTTATTATAGGCTCAGTACTAGATTCAATGCTTTATCTTCATAGCATTTATTCTTCCCAATAATTTTCCAAGATGTCCATGACTATTATTAATGTCACTATTATACACAGCTACAGAGCATGTGAGCCAGGATTTCAGCTGATGTAGCCTGGCTATAGAACCTGGATAGTATAGTAAAACATTTCTTTAGTAGGTATATGACTAAGGTGATCTTATTTCTTAGTTTACCTGAAGCGATCCCAGATTATACTTGTCCCAACATAATTATATATAGCACTTACACTCTCAAATGTGTCCTGATTTGGAAAAACAATTATATGAACATTGTATATGTAAGACACTAGAGCGATAAATTTAGACTGAACAAAGAGAGAAAAAGAGCAAGCATTTAGGAACAATTGAATTTAGTAATTGGTAATTGCCTACAGGATGAAATGTGGTTAAAATATTGTAATGGTTAAAGAGGCATCACACCAACATGACTGAAAGCTTTATGCTGGCTAGTGTCACTCTCTTGTCCATGTGAGAACCACTAACATTTCACTGTGAACATTATAGTCTGACAAATCTATTGAATGCAGTTTTTTAAAAAAATGATATCCTCTTTCAGCTTCTGTGCCACACTACCAGTTGTCCCCCTACCACTCTTTACCTGACTTGCTTTCCTCCCTCTGCCTAATTCCCATGGGAGTATCTTATAAATCCATCTCTTTGTTTTTCTGACTTCTTTACATGAATTTTCTCCTCTCATTGATTCAAGTCTGGCTTTAAATGAATGACTCCCAAAGAATGTAGCTCTATATCTGACTCTCTCCCTCAAATTTAAGCTTTATCTCTCTAAATCTGTGATCTGGATATTTCTACTCATACATCTAGCCACTGCGTCACGTTTCATTTTTATCAAATGCAAACATTTGTTGCCTCCAATTAACCATACCTACTTAATACATTGCACGCACATTTTAGTTATTATAATTCATTGCCTATGTGTTTAAAGGAGTAGCAAATATTAGAAAAAAGTCATGGCCTTTGGAATCAGAATCACTCAGGTTTGAAACTTGCCTGTTTTAATTACTAGCTTATTATCTCAGGAAAATTACTTAATATCTGTGCCTCAGAATTAATATTCTCGCTTTATAAAGTGCTGCAAGGATTAAGTAAGAGGCATTTGATATATTTCCTGTAAGGTAGTAAATGTTCAATAAACGCAATAGTTATTATTTTTGCTGTTTAGTCGTGGTGCAGATGGTCAAGATGGAGGAGTTGGCAGTGGCAGTAGAAGTGGAAGTGACAGTGGTAGAGATGGAGGTAATAGGGGTGGTAATGATGGTGGTGGAAGTAGTGGTAGAGACAGTGGTCGTGTATTACTGATAAGAAAAAAAAATCCCACAATAAACATCGTCTCAAACTTTACGAATATAAAAATACTTTATCTTCCTCTTCAAAACAGAATTTACCACCCAACTTCTCCAGTTCTATCAATCTCTTTCTCCTACTTTGATTCTTATTTATTATTATTGGTCAAGTTCCATCATTTCAGTAATTTTTCAATCATTCTAACTGCCAACTTCATAACTTAAGCCATATACCTTCCTGTAGTTAAAGTTGTCCCCCTTTCGAATTAATATACCTAAAATTAATGTATGTACAATGTTGCTTTTATGCTGGCTCTCCAGACCTGAGATCCCCATAATTACAATTGCCTCCAATATAAAACATAAGCCATTTTATTACTGAAATCTCGGCACTTGTCCATGAGGCTGCATCAGAACGAGGACAAATGGTTAAGGAAAAGGAAAGAGAAGTTTATTACTTTGCCAGCAAAGGAAGAAGATGGCAAACTATTGTCTCAAAGCCCAAATTCCTGTACATAAGCAGAGATATAGAGCTTTTAAAGGGAGGGACCTCAGTTCTAGGCTATTGTCTTTTAACTACAGTTAATTATTTTAATTGTCTCATCTCTGCCAGGAGGCCCACCCAGACCTCCACCCCTCTGGACCACCTGCCTGAGGCAGGGATACAGGTCTCAGTTCCCAAAAAGAGTAGGGAAACTTTTAAAGAGACATAAAACATCTTTTGCCATTTTTTCTAGGCCATTCCCTCTGTTACGCTTTCTTATAGTATTCAATTTTACTCTTATCCTCCCATTAATTTTATGTCTAGCTTCTCTCAAATCTTTCCACTTCAGCCAATAAATCACATTATATTTGTTTTGCTATATGCCTTAATGCCACACACATAAAATTTCGCATTTCACCAATCACAACAAATGAAGACTGTTATTACACTTCTTTATATTTTACTTAGATTCCATTACAGTAAATGCTATTTGTATAATAAATAGCCAATAAATATTTGTTGGAAGAATGA